CAGACATCACACTCATTGACAAACACAATAAAATCACATACATTATAGACATAGCCATTCCAAACACTCACAATGTACAAAACACATGCACTGAAATAATTAGCAAGTACACGGAACTCGCCCAGGAAATAAGGCATCTGTGGAGGATGGATAGGACGCTTATTGTACCTGTTGTTCTCTCCTGTACAGGTGTGATACCACACACACTACACAAAAGCCTGGGAGCATTACAATTGAATAGAAATACATACATCACACTACAGAAGGCCACTATATTGAATACATGCCATATTGTTAAAAAATTCCTGAATACAGACACAGACACACTTATTTAATTTTAGTTCTTGGTTGCTATGCCTTGACTCTGGTCCAGCATAGTATACAACCACCGGTGTGTACCGAGTATAACCCACTAAACCCAACATAATAATACATAATAATATTTTGAATACCCATATTCAAAATATTATCATTTTCAACCACTCATATTCTAAGTAAGTTTGTATTATGTAGTATAATGTAAACAACACATTTTCTATCTTTGTAACTGACACCTGACAGTGTCTAGCAGAGTCAGGTATGTAATCTGTACGTTCTTAATAAAAATTTAATTGAATTGAAAAATTGAATTAATATAAACAACATTTTGCTTCGATTAGTATTTGTTTCATTCATTCATAGTGGTTTATGACAGTGAGAACCTAGCTTTATCTGCTTTGCCATCATGTCAATATAAAATTGTAGACTTATGTTCTCAGAAAAGGAAACACAAAACAAGGAAATTATTTTAAAAAGTCAGAAAGGCTTATGTTTGACCAAATAGAAATTATGATATAAATCCAGTTGTTCAATACATTAAATAACTAATAAGTTAACTTTTTATATTTCATTGGAACATATCCCATTGAAATATGTTATAATTTGTCTTTTATTTACAGCAAAAATCTGGAAAGGGTAATTTTTTGCCAGATCGCCATAAGTTCCCTCTTTATAACAGCTGGGAAAGTAAAAGCTGTTAGTGCTAGAAAAATAAAATTGTCTAATTTAATCTTATCGACTTTAACTAAAAAATAAATTTTAATTCAAAAACATGTTCATATATTATAATTATTTAATGAATCGTTTTAATGATTTATAAATTAAAATTCTTAAAACTCAAAGGTTTTTATAAATAAATAATTCATTAAAGAAAATAAAATTTAGTGGTGATTGTGTAAATATAATAAATGTAATTCTACAAAATAAATATGATTTATTTTTGTTGTTTACATTTCATTATACTTTTTTATTCATGATTTTTTATAATGTTAATACTTAAGGAATGCAGTTTCAGTATTGAGCAAAAGCAATACATAAGATAAAATAAATATTTATCATCAGAAAACACATTATTTCTACTATTATATAAGATAATAGCCTCATTAATTTAGAACAGAAACATGTCTTATGACATTTAGTTACTATTAATATAAATAGTAATAAAAAATATAAATTTTTCTTATAATATTAATTGTAAAACAGAATTACATCAATTGAATTAATCTATACTTTTACAACAATTTCAAAGATTTGAAATAAACATTTTTCAGTATCTTTTACCTGAATGCAAAATAAGCTATTAAATAAATTATTTTCAATATCTGAATATTATGAATTTATTTAAAGTTTCTTATATGGAATTATTTCCATATTTATTCAGGTTTTTCATTCACATGCATTTCCAGATGCTTTTCAAGATTATGTTTCTGTGAAAACTTTTTACTGCATTTTCCACATGAAAAGAATCTCTCTACTGAATGGGTTATTTTATGTCTTTTAAGATCATTTGTCCATCTGAATCTTTTTTTACATATTTCACATTCATGAGGTTTTTTATCAGTATGAATCAATGCATGTTTATGAAGATTATGTTTCTGTGCAAACTGTTTATCACAAATTTCACATTTGTACAGCATTTCTTGTTTATGACTCTGTTTGTGTCTTCTTAAATTAGTTCTCCACACAAATGTTTTAAAACATATATCACATCTATAAGGTCTTTCTCCAGTATGTACTTGAGTGTGATCCATTAATGCTCTTTTTTCACTGAACTTTTTATCACAAAAGTTACAAGCAAATGGCTTTTCACTCATATGTGTTTGTTGATGCCGTTGTAAATGACTACTACGTGTAAACCTTTTCCCACAAGTATCACACATGTAAGGTGCTTCATCTGAATGAATTAACTTATGTACTTTCACATGACTTTTTTGCATAAATTTTCTTCCACAAATATCACATGCATGTGGTCCTTCACCAGTATGGATCAACATATGTCCTTTAAGATGATGTTTCTGTGTAAATCTTCTTTCACATATACTACATTGATATGGTCTTTCACCAGTATGAATTCTATAATGTATTTCAAATGCACTTAGACGTGTAAATGTTTTCCCACAACTATTACAATTAAAAGGTTTACCTTTTGATAGTATTTCCTTATATGATTTAACTTGTATTGTTTCTGGAATTTCTTTATTATTTACAAATATATTTCTCTCTATTTTTATTTGATTTAGATTTTTGAAATTGTTCATAGCTTTAAATTTGCTAAATTCATCTGAATAATGAATTAATTGATCTTCTGAATTTAAATCTAAAAAAAAAAAACAACAACTTTAATGTTAGTTTCTAACTGCAATTTCATATATAATAATAATTGTAAACAGAAATATACATAGTAGTCCCTGATTACATTATGCTTTTTTTTGGTCTTCCAAATATAAAAGCATTTTAACCAATAACTTTAAAAAATCAGTTTCCATTGAATTACTGGCAATGAAATTTTACTATATTCCAATCATTAACCTTAAAACTACCATTGTACAAAATACAACCCACAAAAAAAGCAAATCAGCACAGAAATCAAAAATAGATGGATAGATACATCAGTTATATTGTATCATCTAATATATTGTTCATTTCATTTGTCTCCAGATGTACACAATATAACAAGGCACTACTTTATATATAAAATAAACACAAAAACACTAGTATAGTGTGTTACATAACATTTTTATTTTTCACTGATTGTGAAAAAAAATTTGAAGTCATGAGAAAATATAAATAGCCTTTTTTGAAATTTACACAGCAAAATTATGAAAAAAATTATACATTGGTTTATGAACATCTATCAACAAGTCTCAATTTATAAGCTTTTGTAATGTCTGCTGGACTGTAATACTATATGTATTTGAATAAACAATACTATTAAAATGTATAATACAAGGCACATTCAACAGAAAACCAGAAAAGTGCCATTAAAAGTTGAGAAAGTGAGCAATAGCATTGTAATTTTGATAGAAAACTTTAAGTCAGAGGGAACAGTACAGGCAACTGGTAATATTGTTGATGCATGAGAACATAAGACAACAGGCTAATAAAATGGCATCACCTCTCTAGCAGTGCACAAAGGAAGAGCAGTGTAGTTGTCTGATTTTGACAAAAATCAATTGATATTCATTGGCATAAGTAGATACAGTAAGGAAACAACTGTATGAGTTACACCCAGGTATTCCCTGTGTGAATTCTGCCACAGTTCTGTGGAAAATTCTCTATAGCATTCACTGCAGTTCCAGTTGCAGAGAATCTTCTACAGAACTGTGGCTGTTTTTGAACTTTAAAATACTATTTGTACATCTAAGTGCAGCTTATGCAGTTGTCCAGTTGTCTCCTTACTGTACCTGCACATGCCAATGGATAGATTTTTGTCAAAAATCAGACAACACTACACTGATCTTCCTCCCTGTACTACTAGAGATACATTGCCATTTTATCAGTCCATGGTCTTATGTTCTCACACATCAACAAAATTACAATGCTACTGGCTCACCATCCTGACTTTCACCAACACTTTACCAGTTTTCTATTGAACCTGCCTTGTATGTATCAAAAATAGAAATCAAAAATAATAAATATAAATAATTACAAAAAATTCAAATTTGTCTTCAATTTTAATTAATATAAAATTTTACCATCCAAATTTTATAAATTACAAAAAGTACTATAATATTTAAAGATAGCAAATTTGTACCAACATAACAGTGGAAAGTCAATATTACATGTGGTGACTATTTTTAAAATATTAAATATATAATCCAATTGATATAGTAGGGAAGCATTATACAGTATGTTTATTCAATATTTATGTTATTTAGTTTGAAATTTATGTAATGTAAACTTGTACTATTCTAAAAACTTATTTTCTTGAAGTTCATCTGAAGACAGCTTGTTCAAGCCAAAATTATTAAGATATTGTCAGCTTTTAATGCACAGAGGGGGATAAAAGGAACAAAATTCCCTAGGAAAAATGAGACCCTACAAACATCTTTTTCATTTACTTCCTTTACTTCAATATAATAATTTAACTTGCTGTAGCACTCCAACAATATTGCTATGGTTAGCATATATCAAACAGATTACATTATACAATGTCTGATCAAAAAGTATCTGACCTGAGATTAGGGAAAAAAAAGCCTGCATATCTATTTGGAGGGCACTACTCCCTTCAAATAAATCCCTTCTCAGTTTACACACTTCTCCCAGAAATGCTTCACTGCTGGAAGCATTTTTCAAAGTCAATTATCAGGATCTCTATCAGGCACTTTGTCACATTAGTCTTGATCACCTCTGCATCCTGAAATCTCTTTCCTTTCAGTGGAATCTTGAGTTTGGGAAAGAACCAAAAATCAGCTGGAGCCATGTCTAGGGAATAAGGAGGCTGCTGAACCTGTGCAATACTCTTTTACAAGAAATATCCAGATGAGATACAATCTGTGGGATGGAGTATTGTCGTGATGAATAAACCAGTCACCTGACTGCCAGAGCTATGGTCTCTGTCACCTAACAGCATCTCAGATGCTGTTAGGTGACATAAAACAAAAGGTATGACTCCTTTGTCACAGTTTTTCCATGAGGGGTATAGTTATGATAGACTAAGCCCTGGTGATAAAAAAATGCTCAACATGACCTTCACATTGTTGCATGATTGTTGTACTGTCTTTAGCCATAGAGACCATGGCATTTTCCACTGGGATGATTGTGCCTTTGTCTCAGGGTCATACCCAGGTATCCTCTCTGATTATAATCTTCATGAATCAGGATCCAACATGTTCCACCAAATCACTAATGTGACAATTACAGCATAAACATGGAACTATCACACTGCTTGATAGTGACTGCAGGGTAGGATCAATTCATCAAAATTCACAAACCATAGTCTCTTCCCCAGCCTGCAAATACTTGCAACAAAAAGAAAAAAAAAGGTTGATACTTATTTGATTAGACCTTGTACTTTATCTGGATAATAAATGATATTAAATTTATTCAAACTAATGATTGTGTTTTTGAATTACGATTACTGTTGAATTTAAAAATTATTATAGCAGTTTTTCACATTAAAAAATCTATTTAGCATTGACTAAAAATTTTTTCTCATAAAAATATACAGTACTAGCTGTTACCCACATCTTTGTCTGTGGGGGATTTGCAAGCAAACCCCATTTATATTCAGTATTTCAACAACCATAGTAATTGTTATATAACACCTACCGCCGAGAATGATGAGAATTGCTGAGAATCAAACAAACTATTTTCAATTTGATCAATTTTCTGGAACATTTACAATCATTCTATAATCGAACCAATATGCAATAACAAATTCGAATTTAAAACGGTTCAAACAGTTGGTTAAAAAATCAAAAAATATAAAAATAATTATAACAACGTCTGAAATGTTATCAATTTAATACACCTAAGTACTCAATGAAAACTAAACATAGTTAAAAACGAAAAATCATATCTAAAATAGTACAGTAGAAGCCATTCTTCAAGTTAAGCCTTAATCCTTTCTCTCTCTCCCCATGAGGGAATTTCGTAAAATCTTTTCTTAGTGTGCATTTTCACGACGTACCCTAACTGTGTACAAAATTTCACCTCTTTAGGTTCAGCAGTTTGCTCTGGGCAATGATGAATCAATCACTCAGTCAGTCAGTCAATCACTCAGTCAGTCAGGACAAGTAATTTTATATATTTAGATAATTAAATATTTATATAAATTATTAATTTTTAACTTACTTGCATTTCCTTCTTCAATTTCAAATTGATTTGTGTATTTATGTACACGATAAAGTAAAAGTTTTGATTCAGGAGGAATTGTTTTACAAGTTATATAATAAATACTCTCCTTTTGTTGTAATATCAATAAATTTTGTTCTTCCTCACAATAAGTGTAACTAATATATCTTAGCCAATATGCAGAAGTTTCATCCTCACTAACCAAGTAATGATCAATTAATCCATTCTTAGAAACCTTAATGAGTTTAAAAATTTGTAATTAATAAATTAATTTTACTTTAACATTTTTAAAGTAAAAATAGTATATAAAGAAATACATAAAAATAGCTTATAATTATTTAATGTCATTAACTAAAACTGCTGTTGCCAGTAATTTTGACTAGTTTTCTTAAATATTCTATAAAACTAATAATGTTTTCATACAGAAAAGCTTTGTATCATTTATAATAAATTTAGTTAAAATATAATGATAACATAACTTAACAACATTTGAAATTAAAATTCTTATTATACATTTTTATCTTTAATTGCAGCATACAATATTTTATATTGATTACTCTTTCCATACACAAATTCATATTGATTCCACAGAAAATATATTGACAAAAGTGTCTGGACATCTAACTTCTATATGATTGATTGGTAATTATTATTATATCTCTTACAAAAGTTTTTTAATGTTTTTTTATAGTAATATTAAGATAATTTAATGTATTATGCATGTTTAATTTGTATTCAAATTTTATAAATAGATTATAACCATTAATTTTGAAACATCCTCATTTAGGTTTGTATATTTCTATCATAAACAATAATAATATAATCTATGTAATTTGCCATAATGAATCTATGTAATATGCTTGAATGAAGGAATTAAAACATAATACAGTTTTTTCAAAATACAGTACTATAACATAAAATAGATAACAAGAAGCTAAGTACCTGCTGTAATTTTAATTCCTTTAAATTAAAATTATAGAGAGTGCATAGCTTCTGGAATCACACTAGTGTTTATGTCATGTAACAAGTAAGATAATAAATGCAGCTTGCTTTCCAAATGTGAATGCATTCAGACTTTGAAAAGAACAGTAGTATCATCAACAGATAGGAAATGTTACTATCATGTTCAAAATTTCAATCACTATACCTCAAAAAGCATTAGCTATAATCTTTCCCAGAATAATAATGGAACTGATATTCATTAATCTATATATAGAAAAGAAAATAGTTCCTTGTTCATTATAAAGAAAAACATAAATATAATGTTTTTAAAAAAATTTATATATAGTAGAAAATTATAAAATATGTTTAAACTGTAGTAATATATTTAAAATTGTCTACATTTATGCAAGAAATTTGAGATTATAAAAAAACAAAAAGCATTACATGACATCATATTTTAAAGAAGTTTCGTTGCTTAGCTACAATGCTGCCATTGTACACATTCAAGATCCAGCAGATGTGTTTGATCTTGAATGTGTACTGCTCTATTATTATTCTTGGAAATACTATAGTTCCTTCTCTTCAAATGAAATGACATCTTCTTTTATCTAAAACATTAGCTGTTGCTGATCTGAATAGCATTATAACTAAAACTATTAATGTTTCACAATATCAAAACATAGAAAACAAAACAGTGCTCCACTGTACAATCTCAAGGGATCAGATTAAAATGCTGTATAACTGAAAAGATGTGCCATTTAAATTTATGCCAAAATGCACCACAAAATGACAGAACTGACAGTGTTTGATAAATCACAGCATAACAACTTTTAACAAATGTTAAAATATTTATTTTTTATAATAAAGACATAAAATAAAACAGTTACTTTTTTCCTTGCACATATTATTTTTAATTTAATAATTCTGATGCCTGATCAATGTAATTTGCTCATCAACTCCATTTCAAATTTCCATTGACCTCTTAGGGGTCAATGAAAGTTTGAAAAGGGTCAATGAGCAAACTATACACACATATTGTACATGCATATATAAGATTTTATTATTATTTAGTTATAAAGTAAATGCAATCATTAAAAATTCTTGAAAATATTTTCACTATTGTTTTCAAAATTTTTCAAATATAAAAAAATTATTAAAAAATAATGTACACACACACACAAATTTTTCTTAAAAGGGTTGATACATGTAAAATGCTGGTCAGACAGTAGTCCTACAGTAGTCAGTGGTCAAACATAATTCATGTACCTGATGAACAATAATAAATTCCAAAGTAACTTTTGCCTATTCAAGACTGAAATGTCCTTGAATGATATGGTATACTACACTATGTTGTTACAAAATACTACAAAATATAAATTTCCTCTATGTTGAAATTCATACACATTAGCCAATAACCTTCAACACTGAAAGGAATAGAAATGTTTTGGGACCAATGCAAAATTATCAATACATATAAATGACAAAAATGTATAAATATAAAAAAGTATATCACATTTATAGAAACAGCATGTTAAAACTATAGCACAAAGGAAAATAAAACTAGTCATAATGACCTGTCAAGCAGTTTTAGTGTTTGTATTTATTTATTTATTTTACATAAAATAAGAAAAGTCTAATTAAGATTAAAGATTTCCACCCCCACATACCAATAATTTATTAAATAATAAAAGATAATAAATTCAATTCAACAATTTAAATATTTTTTATTAACTTATCAATAAATTAAAATAAATAATATAATTAATAATTTACCTGTAAACAAAATCCATTAGATTGCACTCTATCTGGATTATAAACAACGTTACATTTATATGGTCCAAAGATTGTATTCTTGGGAATTTCTGCATTAGACCATATTCTATATTCTGTTTCAGACTGCTCTAATTTTTTCAAATATAATTTTGCAGGTAGAGGAATGGATTTTATATTTAGTTCAGTTGATGGAATCTATTCAATAAAAATATTTTTATATTATATATAGTGATTAAAGTAATATTCATAATATTATATAAATTTTATTTTAATTTATTTACTGGGGATGATCAAAAACTACGGTTACAAAGTCTGCAGTGAAAAGTGTACATTTTATTTCATACAACCAATAGTCTACAGCCTGATAGTACATACATTAGGTTATTTTTCAACATAGTTTCCATATTGATTTAGGCATTTGTCACTTTGTGTGATGAGTTTGAAAATTCCCTCCTGGTAAAAATCCTGTCCTTGCTGTGTTCAGCCAAGTTGTCGCAAAGTGTTTCACTTCCTCATCTGAAGCGAATCGTTGTCCTGCTAAGTTCTCCTTCAAGTGAAGAAACAGGTGAAAGTTTCTTGGAGTGAGGTCTGGGCTGTAGGGAGGGTGGTCGATGATGTCTCAGAGAAACTGCTTCAACAGCATGGTGGTCTTCTGGGCTATATGAGGTTGTGTGTTGTCATGAAGGAAGATGACATCTTCAGTGAAAAGTCCTGGCTGTTTCCTCCTGTTTGCTTTGCACAATCATGTCAAGGTCTCGCAGTATAGGTCAATGGTCACTCTGTGCCCTCTTTCCAAAAACTCCATGAGTATGACACCTGCACTGTTCCAGAACACTGTGGCCATCACCTTCCCGGCAGTTGGCGTCACCTTAAACTTCTTTGTCTTTGGAGAGGAGGTGTGTTTCCACTCCATTGACAACTGCCTACTGCTGGGGTGTATTGTTGGATCCATGTTTCGTCCCCTGTGACAATGCAGTGAAGAAAACTGTTCCCTTCCATGGAGAACCATAGCAAAAGTTGCAGATTTTCCCCCATGCACTTCTCCCTGTGTTAGTTGGACAGATTTTGTGGAACCCATCGGGCACAAACTTTCTGGTACTGTAGAATATCATGAACAATGTGACAAATACTTCTAAACGACATTCCCAATTCTACCGTCATATGCTGTAATGTGATCCTCCTGTTGTCCTGAATCAGCTCCTCCACGCAAGCTATGTTGACATCTGTTGATGCTGTGCTGGATTGGCCACTGCAATCCTCGTTGATGATGTTTTCTCTACCAGCTGCAAACTTCTGACACCATTCTGCGACATGCTGACAAGACATTACAGTCTCTCTGTAAACCTCTACCAGCTGCTGGTGAATTTCAGCCGCAGTTACATGTTTTGCCCACAGAAATCGAATAACTGAGCGTATTTCTTCACAAGACCAGTTTTCCAAACAAGTCATCATTTGTGTTTACCTACAACTAGCACTGTAGGTAACGGGTGGCTGAAACTCTGCACAGTTGCCAACCACATGTATTGGAATTACCACACACTTCTCATTTCTCTATAACAAATGAAACTCCAGGAATATCAGCCTTGTAACCTTAGTTTTTGATCAACCCTCGTATTTAAAATAATTGATTTAATACATGGTTTTCAAAGCAAACTATCATTAAATGATTTAGGAATACACAATTACTGATTTTAACTTTCAATTATGAACTTATCAAACAACTTTTCTTTTGCCTGAACTTACCATGATCATGTTTAAAAAAAACACAAAAAATCCACAATGAAATTTACATATTTTTGTACACTATGCCAAATACCATATAACTGATGTAATTAAGCAAATGAAATATAGCTACATATACAGAGCACTCTTTTCATTAATTAATAAATTAATAATAATAATAATAATAATAACATACTCTTTTGGAGTTATACATTGGACTCACACAGATCTCGAGCAACTCCAAACGAAAACAAGAACAACACTTACTAAGCATAAACAACATCATCCTAAATCCGCCACAGAAAGATTAACCCTTCCACATAAAGATGGCAGATGTGGCCTGATTGACATAGTTAACCTTCACTATAAACAAAGGGGTATTTCCCTTTATTATATTTAGTATATTATACAATATTTACTTTCGACGATGAAGGGCATCGTCGAAAGTAAATATTGTATTGGGATGGCGTCGGATAGCCGAGAACTTTAAATCAGAAATGTTTCAGAAATATAAAAGCAAACTGTATTGGTTAATTTGTATTTGGTGGTGTTTTCAGTATTTCAGTACCTTTTGTTCCAGTCAGGAAACTGCTAAACATGGTAAAACTTAGTAAAAAAATATGGACATTTATCGTTATCTTCGAATACTTTCAAACATATCACGTGACAAAATAGATGAACGAACCGTGCGACTCAAACTCAGCAGCGTTCAGATTTATTCAAATTTTTTCATTTGATGTTCGATCCAGCTATACCTGAAGAAGAGCCCAGAAGGGGTTAAGAAAACATTCGTATTGGAAAGATTAATTTCTATACCGGTTAAAGGTTCAAGTAGGTCTTATTTATTTTTACACAACCCAATGTGCAGTTGCTGTTTTATAATATCATTACCATTTGCATTGTTTAGGGCAGGGGTGGCCAACCTTTTGCATACCATGCGCCAATTTTTTGATAGACGAGTCCAGATGCGCAGTGGCGTACCGTGAGTGTTAGCAGCCCGGGGCGGAGAAAAATTTCGGTTACCCCTTAATTAGGTATTTCAATTTATAAGAAGAAAATTCAGATTTGCCACAGAACAAGCAATGAAAAATGCGGTTGTAGTGTAGCTACCCACATAAAACAGTTCTATATGACATCAGTGGTGTACATGAACACGAATGCATCATGTAATGTACAAGCAAAAAAAACAAAAAAAAGGTCAACAGGTCGATTGCACCGAACTGCGTATGCAATGAAGCCAAACCTGGCAATGTTGCTCGGAACCGACTGAAGCGCCACTTGTAATCGTCCAATGCGCCAAGTTTTGGCCACCCCTGGTTTAGGGTATCCATAAAGTCCATGTGGAATTTAAAAAATTTATAACTTCATTAATATTTATGATAGAAAAAAAATCTGTAAAAAGTATTAGAAAGTTTAATGTACCTAGTTTTAAGTAAAATTATTTAGTAATGGATTGGAAGAGGTGGACCATTTTCCTGGCCTCCACATTCACCAGACTTGACTCCATTAGATATTTTTTATGGGGACATGTGAAAACAATAGTGTATGCAACCAAACCTCAATAGTTAGAAAACTTTAAAGCTAAAATACTTAACCCTTAACTGGAATCGTAAATTTTTTAATCATAACTGGTATCATGGGGGCTGCGCAGCCCCCAAACAAAATTTGCCTTTAGAGAGCAAGTTTGAACAATGTGCAGTTTAAAAGTGCATAAATGCTAAATGGAACCCTTCTTTAGTATAATTAACTTTTATTTATTAATATAATTTTCTTTACTTAATTATTACAAAAGATCACAAAATTGTTACAACTTTTGGTGTATGCTTTTTTTAACAATACAAAAATCTACCCTATTGTAAGTTTTTATCAAAGATATTTTTTTTCTTATTCCTAAGAAACTAATCTTATAAAAAAGTATCTATTATAGCCTCTAACTATCATTTGTTAAAAAACCACAGGTAATATAATCACTTCTATTTTTAAGACTCAGGAACATTTTAACGCAATTATGTAGTTCAGTCTTGACAGTAATCACATAGTATTTTTGTAGTACTATGCACTTTGCAAATAAATTTCAAACAACTGTGCACTTAGTAGCATATTTATTTTTTTTTCCAGCACAAAATGACAACATACTCTTTTCAGGAGATTTCGGCTTGATCTAGCAATTTGTATATTATCATCATATATTAGCAGTTCGAATGATTCTTTGATAGCCATTTTGAATTTTTGATGCAATGTTGAGATATCTTTGCAAAATAATTGTAAAAATAAAAAAAGCATAAAAAAACATTTCCACAAAAAAACCAACGTAACTGGTATCGTGGGGGCTGCGCGGCCCCCAGAAGATACGTAGCTCCATCCTGGTAAATGCTACAGGGCCGAACATTTGGCACTCGCTAAGAGTTGCGATGCAACGAGATTACATAAAATGGCAGCTGCGCACGATGCTTAGATTTTTAGAAAATCGTAAAAATATGACACATGGGGGCAGCGCGGCTCCCATGAAACCAGTTAAGGGTTAATAAAATACAATAAAACAATACAGATTTTCTTATTTTCAATACTTTCTACATAACTTCTCTATCACATATACTAATCTATATATATAAAAATGAATGTGTGTGAATGTGTGTGTGTGTGTGTCCTTCATGCATTACCACACCATTTATCCAATTGCCGTGAAACTTTGAGAAGTTGTTTAATATACTCCTGTGAAGGTTTCTGGCATAGTACGATTGCCATGAAGCTTTGGGAAGTTTTTTAATACACTTCCGCGAAGGTTTCTGGCATTTATCCTACGATAGATGGCACGCGTTTACACGAGCATTCGAGCAGTGTGTGTTCGATCGATTTCAAATTGTGAAGACCATTCCCCCCTTTAAAAAATATCTCTATATATGCATTTGTGAACTGTTATTTACAATATTTGTAATAATTTTTGTTTAATCACTTTATTTCAACTTTTTTTTGCTAATTATGTATTCGCTTGAACTTCGTTAAAACCTTAACTGTACCCCGAACAACAACCGATTTTATAACACTTCCTGTTAACTTCCCTGTTAACTTCCATGATTTTTGGCTTTGTTTAAATTTTTAATTTAATTGAAATATTAATTTTTTTAAATAATAGTTTGGAATCTCACACTGTCTACAAATATCAGACCAATGATTTGCTTTGATGAAATGGCACAGTGATCTTTTGTAAATGCAAGGACAAGATAACAACTTTCTTGCACCTTGCACTAAATAATCATTCTTCCAGAGTCAGGAATTCCATCTTCAAAATTGTTTAAACCTGAAAATACAACTTTCATCTAAATCTAAACTTTCATCTAAGTCATTATATATACACTTAAAATATAGCAGAACCAGACATCCATCAATAAATATGCAATCATGTGGATCACATACTTTTTATCATGTTTTTGGACTACTCTGCATGATATCTGCATTTATAATATCTATAACAGAGATTTGATACCAGTGTTGTTTCTACTTTCTAAAAGAATGACATGCTGAACAGCAAAGTTTTTTAAATCAAATGTTTTCATTCTATTTGTTATCTAGAATAGTTAGTCAATCCCTAAGCTTGGTTTATCTCTAATTTATTGACAACCTATATTATAATGTACTGTATTTGAAATTGTTAATTTTACCTGAACTGGCTCAATATCAATGGAAAGTCCATGAACAGGGCAATTCCATTCATTTTCCTTCATACAGCCAATACAATCTAAAAAACAAATAGTTAAGATTAATTCAGTATTTTTGTTATAAAATGAACATAAGAATTAAAATAAATGTAGCATTAAATTTTATAAACTTATGATTATATTAAATATTAAATAATAAACATCTTTTTTGTTGCTTAAACACTATGTAGTGTGATTAATCAATCACATGGCATTCCTTCATCTTTTATTTCAGTTGAACATTAATAAACATCTCTGAAACATATAATTTGTATATAGATAATTTAGAAGGGGGATCTATTCACAACCCTGGTACAATCAAAAACCAATCAGGTCAAAATCCCAATGTAATCAAAAGCCCAACAGATCAACATCAAAACACTGACACAATCAAAATGTTGACACAGTTGCTCAATATGACTCAATATTATCATATTTCCTATATATTCTTGAAATAATAAAAATTTCTTTTCAAAATTTTAAAAATAAATTTCTGCAAATCTTGAGGGACTTTCTATGGACAGTTTTGTATAGTTTAAATGAAAAAGAGCATAAAAGAAATTTAACTTGACAAATGTTTAATAGTCTATTCTGTGCCAAACAAATAAAGTTTGCTTTGCAATAATTGATTATACAGTATTACGTATTAATGTATTAGCTACTAATATAATATTTTATGCTTCTATATCTGCCACTATGCTACTGCTTTTTATTGGTGAAATGTATGTTTCTGTATCACTCATGTTTGAATTCAAACTTTTCTTAGAACTTGTAAAATTTTACAATACACTTATATTTTACAAAATAAATTACTTCCATGCTTACCTGCTTAAAACTGACGGGGTTTCAGTTCTTCTCCCGTCATTTCTGACATGTTACAGCTAGTAAATACAATGTAACAAAAAAAAAAATATCAAAACCAAGTAATTTGTGACAATTATCATAAACAAAATGATTTTTGTAATTTGGAATTGTTATAATTCCAATAGAATAAAATAAAATAGCATTAATCAATAAAACTTTTTTGACAATATTAACACTGGCAATATGTGTGACTAAATAAAAAAATTAGTCCCCTGGTCAGGATGTTCTGACATCACTTATACTTTGTCGAGGAGATACAGGAAACCTTTTCTTGTATGTACAAGTAGTTGCATATGGGAATCAGAGTAAGAGAATGGAGGAGGAAGTTGAGAGACAGCAACCTGGAACTAATTCACTCAGATTCGGTGCCAATAGGAAAAAATTTAAAATTTATTTAACAAAGAAATTTCAATGAATACAAACAATAACCAATTAACAATTAAACTTATCCAAATGCATCTACCTTCATGAAAAAGAGTTCACAAGTAGCTCACTTGGAAATAAATACCTGAAGATATTGTTTCTTTTTTGAGAGGTTGTCTTAAAAGCTTCTTGCAGTGGTAATTGGTTAAGTACTCATTTGTTCTTCTTTCAGGGAAGAGAGTTCTTGTAATACACTGTAGATATATTTTGCTTGGAGCAGATGTGACAGTTCTGGGAAAAATGGGGAGATGAGGCAGCAAGATCTTCTTTTGTTAAAGCAGTGGAAAACCAACCAGCCTTGGCAGGCAAGCGACAACTAGACTCAAACTCCGACCTTCTCTTACCTTCCCCTTTTTATCTAATTTTTCTTCTCCTTGCATCCATATGCCCAAATTTGGTAAAAATTGTGTGGGGATTGGACCATTGTCCAATCCCCACATGATTTTCTGCAAAACTTCACTAAATAAGTCAAACTTAACAGATGATATATTATAGCTGATGGGAAATTAAAAGTTGATAAGATCTTATAAATTTCCTCATTGAATTTAACTTTTTACTTTCTTTCCATACTAACTAATGATATAATTTCATAAATTAACAGAACCAATAACCCAAGTTCTCACACACAAATGTTTCTCATAAGTCAGTGTAAATGGTAAATACAACAAGCAATTATTTATTGTGACATTGTCACAATGGCAGGCTGCAATTTTTAATCATGTTTTCGATTTATTTAATTTCTCCACCTCAAATCATCAAAGTAATGTCTTGCCCCTGTACATCATATTTTTCTGTTAGCAACAGAGTTGTGCTGGTAATCTAACTTCTTTCAGGGAAAAATTTTTTAACTGAAATAATGTGACTTCCCATCTAGACTGGAAGTTCATATACAGTTAATCGGGGACTCCTGCCCGAGCTTTCCATATCTGATTTTGAATTTCATCCATCTAACATTGGTTTAGAGATTAATGAAGGACAAATATGTCCTTTCTTAATCTCTAGTCTACAGATGACAGTGGAAATTTATAGGTCTACAGTTTTTTCAAATTGCAGCCCAATTATTTAAAATGTAGCTGTAACCCATAAATACTGTCAACAATAAAGGAAATACTTTAATTTTTCCTCAATTATCTTGTTAATCAAGAAAATATGGTAATTAAATTATAATATTATCAGTTTTCAGTTCAAAAATTTTCCTCTGTATAAAAGCAATCAAACTAAACAAAGTGTTAATTATAAACAAACATACTAATCTTATTGCACTCTGCAAAAAGTTGTTGTCTTAAGCATTTTGAATGTATCAGGCTTACATCTATAAGTTATTTCTGTATTACTATATGCTTCAATTTCCTGATATAAAGAATGCATATGGCACTCATATGTTATAATAATATGGTAGGGAGACACATCCTGCTGGGGAATATTTCTTATTGGAGTTCTATTCAATTTGTCCTCAAGTTGGTTTCTCAAACATTAGTAATGTGATAACTTTCAAAACTATGTACAAAGTGCAATAAAGTTAGTACTAATAATGTATAAATTATTAATGTTAGATGGTGATCCATGAGATAAGATTGTAATTTTGTTCCTTTTAAAATTATTTAAATTTTTAAAATAAATTTCTTAAAAATTATCACAAATATTAACAAATATTTGTTAATTAATTTAATAAATAAAAAAATAGTATTCTTATGAAGTAAAATTGTTATAATTATTTTGAATATAAAAACAAGATATTAATTTAAATAAATATATCTTGATCTTTTTATTGATATTTACAAAAAGTTTTGCATTGGATATAGATATTAAGATATCCATTAAACACAATATTGATAATGGTAGATTTATTTTATAAACATTTTTACATTTTATAGTATTTGCAGTTATAATGTTCATAACTGTTATTAGTAGGAATAAATAATGAAGAACAAGGTCAGAAATTCAGATCATGCAAAATTTTATCATATGTTTTATTTTGGATATATTTATTTTGGAAACATCAAAACAGATTTTTATTTATTTCTTAAATGAAATGTATGAACAATATAAAAATGTGTCAAACATAACAATTTCAGTTGATGTTTCTGCAGGTCTGAATTCAATAATCAAAAGTTTATTAAAGAATGAAAAAAGTATTTGTTTTTTGGATAAATGAAAAAACTACTCCAGCAAAGAAAATGTCTCAAATTCCATTTATCCTACTTTCATACAAAAATGGAGGCAAGATGGGATAGGAGATCAAATGCTTTTATATAACTGGGAGCAGCATCTGATTGTTTCTTAATATGTTTCAACTAATTCTGTAAACAAATAATTATCCTGGAAAATCATATGAAGATAAAGAATGGCAAAAGTATATTTAGTTTTAAAGTTGAGAATTTAACTGTCTGCCATCATAATAAGTTTAGTTTGAAAAGCTCTCAAAACAATTCTAAAATGCATAACAATGCTTTAGTTCATCAAAATTATAAAATTATTCTATGGATTGGAACAATTTTATGCTTATTGATATGGCACTTTTCAATTTATCAAAATGTTTTAAATATATTTTTAGCTAAATATAAATTAATTTTTTTATTTTCAGATTATTTACTTTTGCTTTTATTTTTTTTTTCTGTCCAGAATTTCAGATCAAAAGCAAATCTTTAAAGCTATACAAACTGGTAATGACAATGAACCCAAGTGAACCGAGAAGGAACTACAAAATGACAACTTACAGGTAAACTTGGTTTAATTCAAAAGTAATTGAATAGCCTAAATCCTCTGCAAATCTAAATGGCAAACTACTGAATATTTTTCTGCTTTGAATAGGTATTTTTTTTATTTTTTATTTTTAATCTTTAAACTACACAAGATATATGTCACATAATTACATTGAATACATAATCTTTTTATAGTAAAATCAGTTTTATTATGCTACTAGATTTTATTCAAATGAATCCAAAGTAATTCTAAATAAAGGTGAGAGTATTCAAATGCAAAATTGAGAACTATTTGATTCTAAAAATGTCTTGTTGTTTGTGAAAACTTGATCTAGTTATTCAAATATATTCTTGGGAACAATGAGATCAAGTTTCACCCCCTAACAATGTACTGTACTGCTTCAAGCAGATGTTTATGCTGGTATCTAGAGCCGTGGCCCTGTAAATCTCTCACTTTAGTAGCCTATATAATAGAATTAGAATTAACAGTCTTTTAATAATATGTCATTAAGAATTCAGTACTTGGTGAACTCGTAATGTTGTATTATTAGGATCAATCAGTATATTTGAATACATAATCATACTGAAAATCAGAATTTTGATATGAATAACTTATATGAAAAATTCTATCCTAAAAACTCCTAATTTGTGATCTCATCCAATCCCTGATATGGTAGATTGTTTACATAGTAAACACTGGAGGCTTTCTTTAATTTCAGGATTGTAATAATATTAAGTCTGGTAATGAAAACCAATATTTACATATGTCTGTTAAAACAGACATAATTCAAAGTCCATTACTTATGATAGATCAGGTAAAACATTTACTTAAATTTTTATATTAAACAATTGTAGATTACAAAAGTGTAGAATAAAATCAAGTTGCATCAATGTTTTTCAGCTGAAACTAGATTTTACAAATGTTATGGAAAAGCTACAGGAAACAGAACAAAGTGCTATCAAATGGGAAAGCAATATGTGTGTAATTATCTAATACAAAACTAGATTGTTGTGACATTGTCATAATGCCAAGCTGCAATTTTTAACTACATTTTAATTTAAAATCATATTCTTAATTTATTCAATATAAAATATGTTTTCCTTCTCAAATTTGTAGTGTCTTGCCTCTGTACATCATACTTTTCCTGATGACAACAGAGTCAGACTGGTCATCTATGTAACTCCATTCAGGGAAAAAGTTTTGAATTGAACTCATGTAACTTCCAGTCTAGACCAGAAGTTTTTATTTAGTTAATTGGGGCCTCCTGTCCCTAAGCTTTCCACATCTGGTCTCGACTTTCATCTATTTAACACCATTCTCGAGATTAAAGAAGGATAGACACACAGACAGACGATAGTGGAAATTTATAGGTCTACAATTTTTTCAAATTGCAGCCCAATAAATGTTTGTGCAAATTTAATAACCATTGATTTTATAGCAAACTTCCATCTGATGAAATTTTGACTTGTCAGGCTTTTGATTTTCAAGATTTTGAACCAGATCCATTTTTGAATAAACACTTTTCTATCAGTTCTTGCTTATTATTTATTTTCCTTTTGAATCAATTACTTCTTTGGCTGTAATCATTCAAAAGTTAAAATATACGCACTTCCTTTATGTTCAGCACATTCCATATTAATTCTAAAAATGAATATTCCCAAATTTATATACAAATTATAATACATTATCACCAAGTTTATTTAAAATAAAGAAATATAGAAATAATTATAATTTAACTATTACTATGAGATATTTTATTTAATTGATGAATTACAATAAATCTGTAATAAATGTAACTTATATTACAAATCATGTGTAATTTAATAATTAACATTTTTTTCTTAACATGACTAATAAGGATTGAAAAATGTTATGCTCAATTACTGAGAGT